AAGTGTCCTGCTTGGAAGAAGGAATACGAAGGGCTGCCCCACTGTTGGTGGGCCTTTCAGAGCCTGAGCTCTGCTGCCAGGGATGGATGGGACACAGGGACCTTTCCCATTCCATCCTGTCCATTCTCCCAGCTCCCAGCAGTGTGAAGGTGGTGGCAGGAAGTGTTGTCTCCCCAAGGGGGGAGTTCAGGAGTTCAGAGCCAGCCCCTGCCGCTCCAGCCCCTCTATTTTGCTGCTGCAGGTGAAGAAATCAGCTAAGAAGTTGGAGCCACAAAACACAGAGCCCGTGAAGAGACCCAGCCAGAAGGAGAAGAAAGGGCGCCCTGAGGAGAAGCCCCGATCCAGGTCAGCACTCACTTGGCCTGTCTGCCCTACCTCCCCGAGGCCCATCCTGGTCCCCAGGTTCTCACTCCTCATTGGAGGGGCCCAGCTTCCAAATTTAGTTTGGTAAACAGATCCTGTTGAAGTGTCCCCTGTTCAGGATTGTGGTCCTTGACTGGGGTGTTCCAGACAACAAGGGAATGGGGGCCAGGGATGCTGCTCAACACACCATAGTATGCAGGATGCCCCCCCCGCAGAGAATGACCTGGCCCTGATGTCTGTAGTGCCAAAGGGGGGAACTGTCCCCAGACCAGTGGTTCTCAGGCTTTTTAAGTCCAAGACCCACTAGGTGTGGGGCCAGCACATCTCCCTGACATTTTGAAGTGGAATTCCAGCCACTGGTTGGAATCTGCCCACTGGGAACTTACAGCCAGACTGCCGAGTGGAGTATAGAACTGGAACCGTGTTAACGAGTGTTGCTGTTGTCTATGAGTGTCCAAGTGGAGCACCTTTTAATAACTCATTCACTGGGTCTTACATACTAGACATTAACCCGCAGCCACATATAAAAAAACAAAAAGAACTTTGAGATTTCACATGGTTTGTCCTAGGTGCCTGTCTTAGACCAGGTCACGATGGTCCCTGACCCCTCCTCACAGCTTTGGGGCCTCCTAAAGGTTTTCTTTAGCTCCAGCCCTTAGTGGGGAGGATGGCAGTGGTTGGGGCAGGGTGGCTTCGTGGATGTTGGTCAGAGGCCTAAAGGGATTGAGTCTTCACAGGCCCATGAAGGTGGAACGAACCCGGAAGCGGTCAGAAGGGTTCCCACCCGACAGGAAGGTTGAGAAGAAGAAAGGTGAGGGCCCAGCTGTCACAGTCGCTGCCAAGGTCCTGCAGCCCAAGGTTGCTGAGGTTGGGAGGGGGGCAGGTTCTTCTGTCACGTAGTGGTGCTCAGGCCCTTGGCCAAGTCTGGGCTTGGGAGCTTAGGCCCAGGCAGTGCATTCTCTCCTGGCCATAGAACCTTCCGTGGAGGAGAAGCTTCAGAAACTGCACAGCGAGATCAAGTTCGCCCTAAAGGTCGATAATCCGGTAAGACACACCTTGGGGTCATGAGGAGCCACTTTCCCTGATGAAGCAGTCCCTGCCACTCCTTCATGTCTAGAGCTCCCTTAGAAGTCTCCAGGAATTGAGGCAAATCCAGGGTTCCTTGGGGTGGGTGGGGCGGGGTGGGGCGGGATCCATTGTTTTTATTGTGTGTCCCCTAGCTGAGGGCCATCCTGATGTGCAGTGCTCAGTGTCCCTGCCAGCTGGTGCTGTGGGCAGGCCCCAAGATCCCTCCAAATCTGGGTCTTTCTGCAGCTCTTTCCACAGGGAAAGCCCTGAGGTGTCCTACTCTGACCTATTGGATCGCCTAGGTGCTGTCCCTCCTTACATCTTACTTCCCCACCCTCAGGATGTGAAGAGGTGTTTGAACGCACTAGAGGAGCTTGGGACCCTGCAGGTGACCTCGCATATCCTTCAGAAGAACACTGATGTGGTGGCCACGTTGAAAAAGGTACAGTTGGAGCCCAGGGTTGGAAACAGGCCAGGGTCTAGCCACAGCTGCCCTTGGTCAGTGAGGAGAGGGCCGGTGGACTGCCCAGGGGAGTGCCAGTCTCCGTGGGAGGTGCCCAGGTGGTGACAGCAATAGGGAGGGTCTCGGGGGCGGGGAGGGGGGGTGAGGCCAACTACACTCCCTGAGCCAGGCCTCTTGGCGGGCAGATTCGCCGTTACAAGGCCAACAAGGAGGTGATGGAGAAGGCTGCGGAGGTCTACACTCGGCTCAAGTCTCGGGTCCTGGGACCAAAGATTGAGGCCATTCAGAAGGCAACCAGGACTGGAGTGGAGAAGGAGCCAGCTGAGGCAGAGAAGCCTGAGGAGGCTCCGGTTGGAGAGGAGGCCCCGTCGGAGAGGGCGGAGGATGAGGCCAGTGCTGGTGAGCTGGGTGGGCTCCTCCCCTGATGACAATGGTGGTGTGTCCTGGTGCTGTCTGCGCAGGCCTGGCTTTGTCCCCAAGGCAGCTCGTGGCTGGTACACGCACACACCTATGCCCCTCATGGTCTCTGGACTCTCAGAGTCAGGCAGTGTAGGAGGGTGTGTGTGTGTGTGTGCGCCAAGTGTGTGTGAGCCAAGTGAGGCACAGGCCTTGGGCTGCAGCTGGAGGGTCATGGGTGAGCTGAGAGGAAAAAGGATGTTTCCAGCAGGGACAGTGGCCTTTGGGAGTGGGAGGTGTTCCTGCTGGCGTCACCTGGTCCTCATGACAGATGCTTAGAGTAGCCCTTCAGACTGGTGTTAAGTTGCCTCGGCTGAAGAAGCCTCAGCAGCCTGGGGGCTAGCCCAGCGGGGTGTTACCTCTGTCCCAGCCTCAGCACTCATTTACTGGCCCCTCCCTTCTTCAGGGGCCTGGGCTGGCTGCAGGAGCACATGCAGCCAGCTGTGGCCTGGTGGAGCTGATAGTCCCCATGCGACTGGGAGGCACAGAGGTAGAGGTGATTGTGGACACATGGGGCCAGGGTCCTTCAGGAGTGTCGAGGGTCCCCTCTCCCAAAGCTGGCTTGCTCTCCCACCTGCTCTCAATGGGAAGGGGACAGGGGTCCTGGGCAATAGCACCACAGTGTCGTATGACCCCTTTCCCTCCCCCAGATCTCTCAGCCTCAGTGAATGGTGAGGCCACATCCCAGAAGGGTGGGAGCATGGAGGACAAGGAACAGGAGGAAGGACAGAACTCGGAAGAGGGGCCAGTGGGGGGCTCCTCTGAAGACTTGTTACACAATGAGTAAGTGTCCCTGGGGCTTGTGGCACTGGGGGTGACTTTCTAAGAAAGAAGGGGTGGGGGGCGGGGGGAAACTTGCTGAGAAGGCACCCTGATGTCTGGGCTGCTTATCCTGGTCAGGGTCCCAGGGACTTGGCCCCCATGTGCTGGCCTCCCATCCCCTACCTTAGCAACAGACCCCTCAGGACGCCCCAGTTGAGGGAGCTGAGCTGCCCTGGGTCAGATCCTAGAGACAGTGGCTTCCTCCCAACTCTCCAGGAGTGGGTGCAGGCAGTCTCTTTCACAAGCACCCTCGAGTCTGGTGTGCGGCCTGCTGAGAACCCCAGACCATTCAACACACACCCACTGCATTGGGCACGGTGGGATGAGCCTAGGGCTTTTAGTTTGTCAGTGGTAGACGGAGATAGACAGACAGAAAGGCAGTTTGCTCACCCCCACCGTGCTGTGCTTCACCAGCAGCGCGAGGGAGGGCCCCGACCTGGACGGGCCAGGGAAGGACCGGCAGGAGCGCCAGAGGGCGCACGTGGACTCTGAGTCCCTGGACGACGAGGACAGCTGAGCCCCGGGCAGCCCGGCGGCCAGGCCCCGCCCGTCATGTAGATGCCCGTAGGCCTGCCCCACTCCTTCCTGGCCGCCCAGGGAGCAGAGAACTGTTGGGGAGATGCTGTGCTCTTCATTTGTATTTGTCCCTCGGGATTTTTTTTCTGCCCAATTTCTGTGATTTCCAACCGACATGAAATGACTATAAAGGGTTTTTTTAATGAAAAAAAATCACTTTTATTGGCTTGGTTTTCTAGTGTTACTGGTGCAGCTGGGCTAGAATGGGGAGAGGTCTGTAGCTGTCAAGGGCCCTATTGGGGACAAAGGGTTTAAGCCATAGTGTCACCCTATACAGTGAATGTGAGCTTGGTTTTAATGGTGTTCCCTGCCCGGCAGGCCTGATGGTGAAGAAATGGGGTGGGAGCAAGGCCTTTCCAAAAATAATAAAGGAAAAATAAAACTCTCTGAACTCCGAGGCTCAAATGGAAGCTGTGGTTTGATGTCCTGGGTTTGGCTGCCCAGTGCCCAGAAAGGAGAAACAAAGAGTTTTTCCGGGACAGTGGCTACCACGTTCTCCCCAGAAGCCGCTGCCTTGCTCCACTGACTCAGTCGTTTTCCCTCTTGCCCAGACTGCAGGTGGCACTGTGAGCCCCCGCCCACCTCCCCCCAAGTCAAGAACCAGTGTGCTTGGCACTGCCAGTTCAGGGCATTCAGGCCAGGAAGTGTCCTGTGGGTTGTTTCCTTTACACGTTCAGAGAGCATAAGCGCTGGGGGCAGGCCTCCCTGTGTGACATTGGGCAAGTGGCACTCCCACTCTGGGCTTCTCTTTTCTCACCTGGACAGGGGCTGACTCTAGCCTCACAGGGAAGTCTTGTGGATTTAGATGGAGGATGTGTGTGTGACTCCCAGCCAGGCACCTGCCCTCGGCAGTTTCTGGCTAAACAGTGGCCTTCTTTGTGTCCCCCTGTCCTGGGTGAGTCCACCCATCCTAGCTAAGAGGGAGACTGTGGTATGGCAGGGGTTTCTTGAGACCTGCCCACCCCCCATTTGGTTTGGCTGGACTTGAAGTCAGGTCACTTTGCTGGGTTTCTGTGAATAGCTGAATTCCCAGTGTTTTCACCTCTGATAACCTTATGTGTTGGAGGTCGAGGAAAGAAAGTCTCGGAAGGTTCACTGACTGGTTCCTTTGTCAAGCCAGGTGCCAGCACCCCAGTGCAGAGTCCCTCCCAGATGCTGGCAGCCTTTGGTAACCCTTAAGGAGAGCGAGGCCATTCATCCTTGAGCTCAGAGCACCTCATCATTTCTGAGAAGAGGGTGCAGTGTGGGGGCGTGCTGTCGGCCTGGTGCAGGTTCTGGGAAGATGGAAGCTGGACCCGGCTTGGGCTGCTGGTGTTCTGATGTCCAGCTCCCAGATGGAGAGAGGCCTAGGCCAGTGAGGGAGAATTTCTTGGATGAACATCCTGAGTTTTCATATCTGGGGACAGGGGCAGGGGGCTTGGCCCTCTGGCTGGGGTTGCAGGGATGCTCCCCACCATTGCAGGCCCTAGTCTCTAGGCTGGAGCACGTTACCAAGCCCTGAAGGAACATTCAGCACCTTTTGTCCCATCCTCCCTGGGGCCCTGCCCCCTGTGGGGAAGCCCTTTCATTCCGCCATAGGCAGCCTCTGGGCTCAGATGCCCCAGGGACCAGAACCTCAGCTCTGTGATCCTGTGATTGGCCTTTAGGACAGGGCAGGTGGGCAAGCAGAAGAGGCAGGAAGGGGCTTGATTTGTAGCCCCCCCAAAGCCCCTCTAAACAATGCAGTCCCCCAAAGCCCTTTATCTAGGCCACATTCAGCAAAGGCAGTTGGGACCCTGCCTCCGGATGGTGGTGGCATTCTGGTACATTGTGGTGCAAGGTGTTTGCTAGGTCTGGGGTAGATGCTTTCAAAGTGAGTACAGAGGAGCAGGACTACCCTCTAAGCTGGTAACTGAAGGCCCAGACTGGGGTGGAAGACCCTCATCCCCTGCAAAGACGATGGGGCTCCTAGTGGGGACTGCTAGGAGAATCTTCTAGACTCAGGCACATTTCACTTCTCTTTCGTAACTGGAGTGCTTGCTCAGGTTCTTCAAGTGCAGGCCCTCTGTCAATGGTCTTAGCAACCCTGGGCTCCTAGGCCAGCCATGCTTGGGAAGAAAGGTAGATGGGGCAGTCCCAGAGCTTCAGGGAGTTGGGGCTGGGGAGGCTCTGAGAAGGACCTACAGTTGTTGCCCACTAGGGTGCAGGTCAAAGGGCCCCACCAGCCAGCTGAGCGGGGGGCTATGCTGCACGCTCTCCAGCAGTTTCTCCAGCCCTTGCCAGGCCTGGCCTACACTCTCACGGCTCTGAGCCAGGCGCTCGGCTGGCAGCTCTGCAATGGAGCTGGCAGAGGAGACGACGCCATAGAGCTCACAGAGGCTGTGCCTCGCCTGCCTGACCGGCTGCTGGAGCTCGGCCGGGAGACCCTGGAGGCTGGAGGCTAGGGTGCTGTAAGCCACGTGGAGCTGCTGGATGAGTCCACACGTCCTGGACAGAGCCCCCAAGTCTGACACCTGCAGGAAGAGGGGGAGAGGTGAGCAGTGGTCAGAGAGGAGAAGACCCTGGGAGCCTTGTCTTGTACGTACCTCTTGGGTACCGGCTTTATCTGTCCATGGCTGTCCTTCTGGAGCCTGCTTGGCCTTTTCAATCTGTAAAGAGCCCAGCAGAGAAATGAGGGCTTTTGGCAAGGACCTTTCACACACTTTCTCCTAAGAATGGCATGAGGAGCTGGGGTGGGTACTCCCTGGCCTGGAGCTGTGTGTCTAGGCCTTCGTGTGGCATGGTTGGGAGTGCCACAAGTTTAGAGCCAGCTGCCCCTGATAGGCCTGTCTTCTCTTGTAAAGTGGCAATAATCCAAATTCTCATGAGGTCTTCAGGGAGATCAAATAACAGATGATGCAATCTTGTCACCCCCCAACTCTAAGCCCTCACGTGGCTCCCCATTCCCTGTTGGATAAAAACAACACCTCCCTGTGGTCTGTACAATCTGCCCCCAGGGCATCTCAGACCTCATCTCCCGCTAACACCGCATCATGATCACTGTACATCACTGAACCCTATATCCCTGGGCTCCCCCTATCCCGTTCCCACCTTCACTTCATCCTGTCACCCCAGCTGCCTTTCTGTTCCTTGAATACATAGCTTGTTATTGGGCACTCTGGTGTTGTTTTTTAATTGATTTTATTTTTTAAAAATACGTTTTTATTGATTTTAGAGAGAGAAGAAAGGAGAGAGAGAGAGAAAGAAAGAAACATCAATAAGAGAGAAACATCAATTGGCTGCCTCCTGCACACCCCCTACTGGGGATGGAGTTCACAATCCGGACATGTGCCCTGACTGGGAATCAAACCCATGGTTCATAGGTCGATGTTCAACCACTGAGACATCTCAACCAGGCTTAAACTGATTTTAGAGAGGAAAGGAGAGAGAGAAAAAAACATTGATTTGTTTCGCTTATTTGTACATTCACTAGAGGCCTGGTACACAAAATTCGTGCACAAGGGTTGGAGGGGCCCTCAGCCCAGCCTGCAAGCTCGCCAATCCGGGACCCGTTGGGGGACATTTCTCTCACAATCCTGGACTGCTGGCTCCTAATCGCTCACCTGCCTGCTTGTCTGGTCCCCCCTAACTGCCTCCCCGGGGGGTGGGGGCAGGGGGCTGGTCAGCCCAGCTTGCACCCTCTCCAATCTGGGACCCCTCAGGGGATGTCTAACTGCTGGTTTAGGCCCTATCAGTCAGACATCCCTCTCACAATTCTGGACCACTGACTTCTATTCACTCACCTGCCTGCCGGCCTGATCGTCCCCAACTGTCCCCCTCTGCCAGCCTGGTTGCCCCTAACTGCCCCCCCTGCCTGTCTGGTTGCCACTCACAGCCTGCTGTTCAGTCGTTTGGTTATCCCTCACTAACCCCCCTGCCGGCCTGGTCGCCCCACACATACTGCTGTTCAGTCGTGTGGTTGTCCCTCACTAACCCCCCTACCGGCCTGGTCGTAGGCAGCCATCTTGTGAGGGTGTGAGGGTTAATTTGCATATCACCTCTTTATTATATAGAGTTGGTTGATTCTTATATGTGCCCTGACCGGGGATTGAACCTGCAACCTTGGCATATTGGGATGATGCTCTAACCAACTGAGCTACCCAGTTAGGACTGGGCACTCTCTTCTTATGGTCCCCACTTCTCCCCAACTCTGCATGGCTCTCTCCTTGGCATTCACAATGTGGCTCAAAGGGGCGCTCTCCTGCCCAGCCCAGCCCCTCTCTGTCTGCATGGTTGTCTTGTTTCCTTCTTTGCATCCCTTTTTGTAGGTACAGCATTCCCCTCTTATGGTGAGTTTCACTTTCCACAATTTCAGTTCCTGCAGTCAACCACGGTTCAAAAATATTAAAGGAAAAACTCCAGAAATAAACAATTCATAATTTTTAAATGGCACGCTGTTCTGAATAGTGTGATGAGATCTCAAATGGCCCTGCTCTGTCCCACCAGGGGCGTGACCCATCCCTTTGTCCAGTGTCTCCACTCTGTAGATGCCCCCACCTATTAGTCACACAGTAGCCGTATCAGTTATCAAATCAATTATTGGGGTATCACAGTGCTCATGTTCAAGTCACCCTTATTTTACTTAATGCCACAGTAACATCACTTATAATATGTTATAATTGCTCTATTTTATTATTACTGTTAATCTCTCACTGTGCCTAAATTATAAATTAAACTTTATCATAGGTATGTATGTGTAGGAAAAAACAGTATATTTAGGGTTCAGTCTATCCATGGTTTCAGGCATTCACCGGGAGTCTTGGAATGTCTCTCCCAAAGATATGGGGGACTACTGTATTTGGTTTGGTTGTACATCTCCCTCTCTGGGACACAAGCGCCATGAGAACAATCTGTGGCCATCTTAGTGGCTGACAGATGTCGGGTCACTGCCTGTGGTAGGGGGAACCATGGGGAGATATTCTGAGAAAGGCACCCTGGAGAGGGGAACATTCTTACCAGCCTGATGGAGTCCTCAAGCTGGGCCAGTGTGGCCCTAGCCTGGAACTGGCCATGCTGCAGATGGCTCAGGGTATGCTCGAAAGCCCGCTGGCGAAAGCCGTGGGCCAGGTCACCGAGACGCACGAAGTAACTGCTCTGGTCTGCTGCGGGTACCCTGGGCCCAGGCTCAGAAGCCACCAACTGAGCTGGAAGGGAAGATGGGATTACTCAACCCAAGAGTCCCCTTGTGGCATCCAGATCTTGGGTTGGACAGATGACAAGCACCCACTAGGACCGCTAGTCCTTACCTTGCTCCTCAGCGTTCATGGGGTGGAAGATCTCCCGCAGTTCCTCTGGGAGTGTCATGAAGCCCGTGACACCTTCATGGCTGTGCATGGTGGCCATGCACCCCGCATCCTCTGTGCCCAGTGAGGTTCCTTGTGTGAATGCTGCCACAGTGGAACCAAGGCTCTGGGTACTTGCAATAGGTTCTGTGGCAAGGACATGGCTTGCACAGAGAGTGTCTGGGAGGCTGGAGACCATGCAGGATGAAGCCTCCAGGGGGTTCAGCACAGTTTGTTGCCCAAATTTGTCTGTCTCCTGGTCATTGGTGAGTCCACCATAGGAGCTTTCCCCAGCACCAGGTAACCAATTCTGTATAGTGCCCAGACCAGTCTGGACAGCGCCCTTGGTCAAACCCATTGCCCCATTGAGGCCAGTGGATACTGTGTCTTTGGTGCCAGTCAAGAAGGTCTTGGAGGTGTCCACACCGGTCTGGACAGCACACTTGGCCATACCCATTGCCCCAGTGAGTCCAGTGGACACCGTGTCTTTGGTTCCCTTAAGAACAGTCTTCGAAGTATTTATGCCAGTTTGGGCGGCACCCTTAGCTACACCCATTGCCCCGGTGAGGCCAGTGGACACTGTGTCTTTGGTGCCAGTTAGGATAGTCTTGGAGGTGTCCATACCAGTCTGGACGGCACTCTTGGCCACACCTACTGCACCGGGGAGTCCAGTGGACACAGTGTCTTTGGTGCCAGTTAGGATAGTCTTGGAGGTGTCCATACCAGTCTGGACGGCACTCTTGGCCACACCTACTGCACCGGGGAGTCCAGTGGACACAGTGTCTTTGGTGCCAGTTAGGATAGTCTTGGAGGTGTCCATACCAGTCTGGACGGCACTCTTGGCCACACCTACTGCACCGGGGAGTCCAGTGGACACAGTGTCTTTGGTGCCAGTTAGGATAGTCTTGGAGGTGTCCATACCAGTCTGGACGGCACTCTTGGCCACACCTACTGCACCGGGGAGTCCAGTGGACACAGTGTCTTTGGTGCCAGTTAGGATAGTCTTGGAGGTGTCCATACCAGTCTGGACGGCACTCTTGGCCACACCTACTGCACCGGGGAGTCCAGTGGACACAGTGTCTTTGGTGCCAGTTAGGATAGTCTTGGAGGTGTCCATACCAGTCTGGACGGCACTCTTGGCCACACCTACTGCACCGGGGAGTCCAGTGGACACAGTGTCTTTGGTGCCAGTTAGGATAGTCTTGGAGGTGTCCATACCAGTCTGGACGGCACTCTTGGCCACACCTACTGCACCGGGGAGTCCAGTGGACACAGTGTCTTTGGTGCCAGTTAGGATAGTCTTGGAGGTGTCCATACCAGTCTGGACGGCACTCTTGGCCACACCTACTGCACCGGGGAGTCCAGTGGACACAGTGTCTTTGGTGCCAGTTAGGATAGTCTTGGAGGTGTCCATACCAGTCTGGACGGCACTCTTGGCCACACCTACTGCACCGGGGAGTCCAGTGGACACAGTGTCTTTGGTGCCAGTTAGGATAGTCTTGGAGGTGTCCATACCAGTCTGGACGGCACTCTTGGCCACACCTACTGCACCGGGGAGTCCAGTGGACACAGTGTCTTTGGTGCCAGTTAGGATAGTCTTGGAGGTGTCCATACCAGTCTGGACGGCACTCTTGGCCACACCTACTGCACCGGGGAGTCCAGTGGACACAGTGTCTTTGGTGCCAGTTAGGATAGTCTTGGAGGTGTCCATACCAGTCTGGACGGCACTCTTGGCCACACCTACTGCACCGGGGAGTCCAGTGGACACAGTGTCTTTGGTGCCAGTTAGGATAGTCTTGGAGGTGTCCATACCAGTCTGGACGGCACTCTTGGCCACACCTACTGCACCGGGGAGTCCAGTGGACACAGTGTCTTTGGTGCCAGTTAGGATAGTCTTGGAGGTGTCCATACCAGTCTGGACGGCACTCTTGGCCACACCTACTGCACCGGGGAGTCCAGTGGACACAGTGTCTTTGGTGCCAGTTAGGATAGTCTTGGAGGTGTCCATACCAGTCTGGACGGCACTCTTGGCCACACCTACTGCACCGGGGAGTCCAGTGGACACAGTGTCTTTGGTGCCAGTTAGGATAGTCTTGGAGGTGTCCATACCAGTCTGGACGGCACTCTTGGCCACACCTACTGCACCGGGGAGTCCAGTGGACACAGTGTCTTTGGTGCCAGTTAGGATAGTCTTGGAGGTGTCCATACCAGTCTGGACGGCACTCTTGGCCACACCTACTGCACCGGGGAGTCCAGTGGACACAGTGTCTTTGGTGCCAGTTAGGATAGTCTTGGAGGTGTCCATACCAGTCTGGACGGCACTCTTGGCCACACCTACTGCACCGGGGAGTCCAGTGGACACAGTGTCTTTGGTGCCAGTTAGGATAGTCTTGGAGGTGTCCATACCAGTCTGGACGGCACTCTTGGCCACACCTACTGCACCGGGGAGTCCAGTGGACACAGTGTCTTTGGTGCCAGTTAGGATAGTCTTGGAGGTGTCCATACCAGTCTGGACGGCACTCTTGGCCACACCTACTGCACCGGGGAGTCCAGTGGACACAGTGTCTTTGGTGCCAGTTAGGATAGTCTTGGAGGTGTCCATACCAGTCTGGACGGCACTCTTGGCCACACCTACTGCACCGGGGAGTCCAGTGGACACAGTGTCTTTGGTGCCAGTTAGGATAGTCTTGGAGGTGTCCATACCAGTCTGGACGGCACTCTTGGCCACACCTACTGCACCGGGGAGTCCAGTGGACACAGTGTCTTTGGTGCCAGTTAGGATAGTCTTGGAGGTGTCCATACCAGTCTGGACGGCACTCTTGGCCACACCTACTGCACCGGGGAGTCCAGTGGACACAGTGTCTTTGGTGCCAGTTAGGATAGTCTTGGAGGTGTCCATACCAGTCTGGACGGCACTCTTGGCCACACCTACTGCACCGGGGAGTCCAGTGGACACAGTGTCTTTGGTGCCAGTTAGGATAGTCTTGGAGGTGTCCATACCAGTCTGGACGGCACTCTTGGCCACACCTACTGCACCGGGGAGTCCAGTGGACACAGTGTCTTTGGTGCCAGTTAGGATAGTCTTGGAGGTGTCCATACCAGTCTGGACGGCACTCTTGGCCACACCTACTGCACCGGGGAGTCCAGTGGACACAGTGTCTTTGGTGCCAGTTAGGATAGTCTTGGAGGTGTCCATACCAGTCTGGACGGCACTCTTGGCCACACCTACTGCACCGGGGAGTCCAGTGGACACAGTGTCTTTGGTGCCAGTTAGGATAGTCTTGGAGGTGTCCATACCAGTCTGGACGGCACTCTTGGCCACACCTACTGCACCGGGGAGTCCAGTGGACACAGTGTCTTTGGTGCCAGTTAGGATAGTCTTGGAGGTGTCCATACCAGTCTGGACGGCACTCTTGGCCACACCTACTGCACCGGGGAGTCCAGTGGACACAGTGTCTTTGGTGCCAGTTAGGATAGTCTTGGAGGTGTCCATACCAGTCTGGACGGCACTCTTGGCCACACCTACTGCACCGGGGAGTCCAGTGGACACAGTGTCTTTGGTGCCAGTTAGGATAGTCTTGGAGGTGTCCATACCAGTCTGGACGGCACTCTTGGCCACACCTACTGCACCGGGGAGTCCAGTGGACACAGTGTCTTTGGTGCCAGTTAGGATAGTCTTGGAGGTGTCCATACCAGTCTGGACGGCACTCTTGGCCACACCTACTGCACCGGGGAGTCCAGTGGACACAGTGTCTTTGGTGCCAGTTAGGATAGTCTTGGAGGTGTCCATACCAGTCTGGACGGCACTCTTGGCCACACCTACTGCACCGGGGAGTCCAGTGGACACAGTGTCTTTGGTGCCAGTTAGGATAGTCTTGGAGGTGTCCATACCAGTCTGGACGGCACTCTTGGCCACACCTACTGCACCGGGGAGTCCAGTGGACACAGTGTCTTTGGTGCCAGTTAGGATAGTCTTGGAGGTGTCCATACCAGTCTGGACGGCACTCTTGGCCACACCTACTGCACCGGGGAGTCCAGTGGACACAGTGTCTTTGGTGCCAGTTAGGATAGTCTTGGAGGTGTCCATACCAGTCTGGACGGCACTCTTGGCCACACCTACTGCACCGGGGAGTCCAGTGGACACAGTGTCTTTGGTGCCAGTTAGGATAGTCTTGGAGGTGTCCATACCAGTCTGGACGGCACTCTTGGCCACACCTACTGCACCGGGGAGTCCAGTGGACACAGTGTCTTTGGTGCCAGTTAGGATAGTCTTGGAGGTGTCCATACCAGTCTGGACGGCACTCTTGGCCACACCTACTGCACCGGGGAGTCCAGTGGACACAGTGTCTTTGGTGCCAGTGAGGACTGTCTTGGTGGTGTCCACACCAGTCTGGACAGCACCCTTGGCCATTCCTATTGCCCCAGTGAGGCCAGTGGACACTGTGTCTTTGGTGCCAGTCAGGATGGTCTTAGAGGTGTCCACACCTGTCTGAACAGCACCCTTGGCCATTCCCATTGCTCGGGTTGGGGCAGCGGACACTGTGTCTTTGGTGCCAGTCAGGATCGTCTTGGAGGTGTCCACACCAGTTTGGACGGCACCCTTAGCCACACCCACTGCCCCGGTGAGGCCAGCGGACACTGTGTCTTTGGTGCCAGTCAGGACTGTCTTGGTGGTGTCCAGGCCCCCCTGTACAGCCCCTGTCACCATATTCACAGCACCAGTCACTCCACTGCAGATGGTGTTCTTGGTGTCAGTCAACACCATCTTGGTGGTATCCACACCAGTCTGAAAGGTTCCTTTGGCTATATCCACTGTCCCTGCGACCCCACTGGCCACAGCCTCCTTGGTTCCAGTGTGCTCAGGCTGGGACATGCCAAGAGCTCCCTGAAGCACACCTTTAGCTGAGTCTGTCACGTTGGCCACTCCGGAGGAGATGGCATCTTTCGTTTTGGTCATCGTGGAGCACACCTGGTCCTTCACCCCAGAGATCATCTGATGAAAAAGGACGTGTGTGGTCAAGAGCAGAACTGGGAGGCAGACTTCTGCCAGCCTGATTCCTGATGGGCCTGGTAAGTGGTATCTGTCACCCAGAGGCCCTGCCTCCTTCTTCCCACCCCCGAGCTACCCATGGCCTTCCAGGACACAGCCATCACAAGCCCCATCACTACGTCAAATTACTCCTCTGATCCAGTAGGTCCCCTGCTGACAGCGGGTCCCTAACACCTCTGCAACCCTTGACAAGGTGCCTTGGTGGTATCCATGCCTTAGGCTCAGCAAGCCATTGAATTATGTTTTTTTGTTCGTTTTTAGCAGAATTTGAGCCTGGTTTCCCCATTACAGTGGGGAGACCAAATTGTTCATTAAAATGAATGTATTCAACTAAGAGAAGGGAATAAACATTTGGAAAAGTGGTAACCACACAAGTAAGGGACAAGTATTGGGTTCGAGCCATAGGAAATTGTCAATAACTAACTATTTTTAACCTACCCAATGGCAGTTTCAACCAATACCAAAGGGTTGTAATGGCCTCAGGGTTGCCACCACTCAGGTTCAGCCATGAGTGTGCTATTTTTAATTCAGTGATTCTCACCTGGGGAGATCCAGCGCCCCCCCCCCCATCTCCCCAGAGACATTGGGCAAGTTTGGGGACATCTGTGATTGTTGTGACTGGGGGCACAGGGCGCTACTTACATTGATCGCCTGTGGGCCTGGCATGCTGTGCAACACCCCATAGTGCCCAGGACAGACCCACAACCAAGAATGATCCTGCCCCAAATAGCCACAGTACTGACATTGAGAAGTTTATTCTCATTACCTGCTTCCCGCCCAGAATTAAATCAAGTGGGCACCTTGGGATCTGCGCCCACAGAGACCCAGGTTCAAATCTCAGCTTTCTTGTAAAAGCCACATTCCCCGCTCTGAGCCAGTTTCTGAAAAGTGATTAAAATAGCACCACCTTCACGGATTATGGATTAAGGATTATCTGCACTTTGCAGATAGTAGGTGTTCAGTTAACATGAGTGGAGAGGAGTAGAAAAGAATTGCATAAATGGAGAAGGGGTGAGGGGTCTGTTTTAATTTCAGCCAGAAGGACCTGTTGAGGTTCTTCCCCTTCTGAGATGCTAAGATCTGCTTGGGCTGCGGGCAGAGGGAGACTAGGAAGACCGGAGTGGGGGCATGTGCTGGGCGGAAGAGTTCCTATCAGGGCTATGCACCCTCTGCGGCCTCAGCTGGCTTACATCAGTCCCTCCACTTGGCCCAGCCTTGGGGACAGGATAACATGGGCAGGCCTCATGTGTTCAGGACCAAGGGTGGATGCAGCGTTGGTGTAGTTCAGCCTCTGACTGCCCCTGGGTTCAAGTCCCAAACTACCGTGACCTGCTATATGACTTTTGGCAGGCGGCTCAGCTTCTCTGTGCCTCAGCTGTCGTGCGGGGTACTACTTACTCCCTTCCTCACAGGGTGGTTGGGAGGATTAACTATTAAGCAGCACGTATAAAGCACAGTGTCCAGAGCCTGACACACAGTGAGTTGCCGCTGTTTGGTTCCCATCATGTTAGAGAGTGAGGGGTGGGCGGTCTGTAGTTTGGAGCCTGTCCATGTGGGCAGTGAGGCAGTACTGCACCCATTTCACAGATGTGGCAGTGGAGGCTTAGAGGGATGTCTGCTCTCTCCTTGGGCAGGAACCAAAACATTCCCGAGGGAGGCAGAGGCCATCAGACCAGACTCTGACAGCCACTCACCTTGTCCGAAGGCGACGGCAGCTTTTCCACCTCCCTGGCCATCTGCTTCGGGTCGGTAGCTGCTATGGGGACAGAAGCTGGTCAGGCACCCCAGGGAATGCGAGGGAAGCGGGCTGGCATCAGCTGCTCTGGTGCCCATTGCGCAATTGGCGGGCACAGCCCAAAAGGTCAGGAATGTCCCAGCCACTCCGCCAGGGACAGCAGGAGGTGACATCTGTGGCCATGGGCTTGGCTCCTTTCAACCCCCCAGGACCTCAGTCCCCTGGAACTGAGGATCTCCCTGGTGTTTTCTCCACCTGGGTCCTGGGTGCTGGACGCCCACCCAGGGAGATTGCAGGGAGAGGAGTCAGGGCCCCGCCCCACCTCTGCTACAGCTGGCAGTTGCCTGTCAGGCCTGGGTATGTGGAGCAGAAGTCAGCTGCCAAGGGCTCGGCCCAGAATGAGGCCTAGCCCGGGCAAACACCCAAACCTGGGTCTTCTCCCCCTCCCCCACCCCTGCACCAGCCCCCCGATGTGTCCCGAGTACTCTGGCTGAGTAACGAGGGTGGGGAGACCCCTAGGCTCTGCCATCCGAGGGAAGCCACTGTCCCTCTTGGGGAACCAGGATTGCTATCCCCAACAAGGTCTGCCTGCAGAACACCCAGGCCCTGGTCCACAGGCATCAGAAATGGGTGATGGGAGGTGGGGTGGGGGTGGAAAGTGTGGGTGGTACTGAAGGGAGATAGGCTGTGTTCACACCCCCACTTTTTCTGATTATGCACCTTGGGCCATTCACTTGCCATATTTATGCCTCAGTTTCCTCATCTGGTGCTAAATGAGTGTTGCCAGTCATGCAGTGTCTATTTAGATGATGCAGGCACATATGAAATGTCCCAAAGTGGCCAGAAGTCCCTGCTAGGGGATTTCCTATTCCGGGAGTCTCCCCAGACCCCCCACCCTATCGAGCTGTGTACTCACCCTGGGCCTGGGGATGGGCGGCCTCGGGGGTAGGAGTACCTGTGGAATCAGCTACTGGCTGGGCCTCTCCTGCTGAGCTGTGAGCGTTGGCCACCAGGTTCCGGGCAGAACTGAAGCCAGGCAGGAACCCCAAGAAGTTGCTCAGGGTCTATGTGGGGAGGGGACAGCATGAGCAGGCTGGGCCGAGATGGGATGGGGTGGGGGAAAGCATCAGACAACCCTGGGCTTCCACACCTCTCAGGCTCTTGTTTTGGGGTGACCTTGAGTTTCAAGCCTCAGTTTCCTAGTCTGGACAATGGGCAGATGCAGCCGGCTTCCCATGGAAGGAGGAAAAGGTCCTCCTTTGAGTCTCCAAGGCCTTCTTCCACAGCCCCCATTTCACAAATGGGGAAACTGAGGCTAAGAGAGGTGCTGTGGCTAGCCGAGGGTCTCAAAGTAGGAAAGGAGCTGAAGTCTGCCCCCACCCCCAGCTTGGGACAGGAGGGAAGAGTTAGCACCTTGGCTCTCAGAGCCCTCCCACCCCACCCAGAAAACTCCCAGATCTGAGGGCTGTGGCGGTCACCTTTGCAAGGTTCTGGGGGTCTCCAGGCCTTAGCAGGGATCTCCCCCTCCCATACCTCTCCTCACCTTGCCCTTGGGTTTGTGGGGCTTCCGGCCTCCTTCCTCTTGAGCAGACATGTTAATACTCTAAGCAGCTGGGAGGGGGCAGAGATGGTTCATAAATGGGGTTCCCATGCCTCCTGCCCCTCACCCATAGCCCCCAGACTTTCCCTGACACCCACCTGGAGACCTTGCCTCACCCTGGCATTGCTCACCTGGACTGCGAGAGGGTCTTTTGGAGTGACTGGCGGCGCAGCTGGCAGCTGGCTCTGCTTTCAGCTCCCAGGCCTTATAGGGTCTGGGGCAGGCGCAGGCCTGGCCTGCAGAGGCAGGCAGCCAGCCTGCTGGGGGAGGGCCCTGGAGGGTCACGTGCCTGCCTGCCCTGCCCAGCTTGCATGGGCCCCGGGCCCAGCACCTTTCCCCTGCTCTCAGTACTGGGCCACCTCTGCCCACAGCACCCGCCCCACCAAGCTGAGTGATTCCCAGGCCATCCTATGTTCCTGAGACACAGCCTATGTGCCCTCTTGGTCTATTCTTTCCATCCATGAGATGGACATGGTTCAAATCTCAGTTATGGGATGCCTTGGCTGCAGTTTCCCCTTCAGACTCCTCACTGGCCCACAGTGTTGTGCCCTTCATTTCCCCTGGCTCTTGCCTCTTTGATTAGTCCAGCCACAGGGGCCTCCTTGCGATTTCTCCAAATCTTTGGGCATGGTCCTGCCTCAGGGCCTTTGCATGGGCTATGTCTTCTGCCTATAGCACTTTCCCCCAAACATCCACATAGCTCCCTCCCCGTGTTCCCTGCAATAGAACAGTACCTGGCACACAGTTGGCACTTAATAAATGTTTGATTAAATGGGCCAACTCATAGGGTGGTTGTGAGTGTGCAATGAGGTCACACATGTAACCTGTTTATCCCTGTGCCTGGTACCCAGCAGGTGCTCAGCAGACATTAGCTTAGCATGGTCCAGGCAGAGAGGAGCAGCATCTGTCCTCGGCAGGGATGGGACATGTCACTCTCTGGAAGGGACTTCTCTTGAGCAAGGGGACAAAACAGACCAAAACAGCTCCAACAGAGCCTGGAACATAGGATGGCTTGTGACTCACTCAGCTTGGTGGGGGCGGGTGCTGTGGGCAGAGGTGGCCCAGTACTGAGAGCAGGGGAAAGGTGCTGGGCCTGGGGCCCATGAGAAGTAGGCCTGGTAGGCTCGGGCCAATCCAAGGTGGCTTCCTGGAGGAGGTATTTTGTACCTGAGGCCACAGAGCCAGGAAGTGGCAGAGACAGGATTTAGACCCAGACCCTGAGCCTGTGTGTAGAGCGGGCTGTCTGTGGATGGGTGCCCAGATGAGCAGAGGAGTGACTGCCATACCCTTTCTGGCCTGCCCCTGAAACAAGGATCACAGTCATGCTGGTGGGGGTTGGGAAAGATCCAGCTGGTGGCTCTGGGCTCTGAGCTGGGAGAAGGGAGGGTCCTGCTGTTGGGCCTGATGACCCTCAGGTTGTCTCCTTGGAGTCAAACAGTCAAGGAACAAAAGGGGGATTCCCCAGCCTCTCTCCTTAGCCAACACTTCCTAAAGGTGACATTGCAGGATTGGGGAGCTGGATCCTGGGTGTGTCCCTCCCCCCAGCAAAAGTAATAAAAATGGCCCGACTGGTGTGGCTCTGGTTGAGCATCAACCTATGAACCAGGAGGTCACGGTTCGATTCTCAGTCATGACACATGCCTGGTTTGTGGGGGTCCCCAGTGTCTCAGTCATGACACATGCCTGGTTTGTGGGCTCGATCCCCAGTGTGGAGCATGCAGGAGACAGCCAATCAATGATTCTCTCTTATCGATGTTTCTATTGCTCTCTCTCCTCCTTCCTCTCTGAAATCAATACCAAGTCAGGTTTTGTCCCCTTTCTGGCCACAGCTCTCCAGGGCTCCCACCTCCCTTGGCCCAAGTTCTCCCTGTGGCCCATAGGCCCTGGACGACTTGCCTCTGTCCTCTCTCCCTGCCTTCATGTACTCCCTTTTTCCCGCCACTCTGCTCCAGCCACACAGGCCTCCTTGCTGTTTCTCCAACAGGCCAGGCAAGGTCCTGCCCTGGGGCCTTAGCACAGGCTGTGCCTTCTACCTGGAATGTTCTCCAGTCTTTGCTCATATGTCACCTCCTCAGAGAGGCCTTTCTGGAACCCCTCTTTTATTTAAAAATATACATCTTTCCTCAAATGCCCACATACTACCCATTGTCCTCCCCTTTTATTTTTCTTATTCTACTAACACTAAAAATAGTAATTTACTTATTTTTCTTGTACATTGCCTGTTTCATACTGTATTGTCAGGTCATAGAGGGGTAGGAATTTTATCCATTTTGTCACTGCCATGTCCCCAAGGTGGAGAACTGCCTAGCACACAGCACGTGCTTTATAAATACAGGTTGTTTCAAAAAAATGTTTACACACTTTTAACAGCTGATAGCTCAATTGATGTTTCTTTTCAGATTTAACCCATTGGAATTAGTAATTATTCAAAGTGTGTATACATTTTGGGGGATACCCTGTATTTGTTGAATGAATGAGTGAATAATAGCTTCTGTGGGTGAGGTGTTTACTAGGATTGGGCATGACTTAACCCATTTTTCAGAGGAGAAACATGTTTAGAGAGGAAAAATAAGTTGCCTAACCACCTGCAGGCAAGGCTGGGACTCAGCCCCAAGGCGACAGGGAGCCAGGCGGTTCCGAGCAGGGGCAGGGAAGTGAATCTGACCAGTGGGAAGTGGTCAGGGCTCCCAGAGCTGCCCCTGGGCTGGGTCCCAGGGAAGCCAGGGGCCATCCTGACCTCACCGAATCATGCTATGGTTTCCCAACACCCTGCCTGGCCACTGGGGAGTCTGAGGGGCAGCCAAGAATGTGGTCAGAAGATGGGAAGGCCCCCATGAGACTGACCCATGGCCCTTGCCCTGTCTCTGTCTCCCCAGTCCTGATCAGTGGAGAAACGACGGCAAGATCAGCAACGGTGGGTGCAGGGAGGTGGGCATAGGAGGACTGACCCCTCTGACTTCTTTCTCCTCAAGATCCTGCTCCCTGCAGTTCCAAGACATTCATTTATACTAGTGTGAACTTTCACTCCAGGAAGCTACATCTGAGCGCAATGCTTAAGCCAGGTGGGCTGGACACAGAAGGTGGAAGTACAGACAGGATGGCAAGCGGGAGGGAGGGGTTGGGGGGGAGTGGGCATCACTCCTTTCAAATCTCGAACCCTGGCTTGTGTCATACAGTCACACCTCTGAGGCCACCCGGGCACCCTGTAACTGAGACTCACTCCAGCCAGAACAGAGGCCATGGGCCTTTGAACAACACGAAGCACCTTTATTGGCAAGCGGGAGGAGGGGTTGGGGGGGGAGTGGGCATCACTCCTTTCAAATCTCGAACCCTGGCTTGTGTCATACAGTCACACCTCTGAGGCCACCCGGGCACCCTGTAACTGAGACTCACTCCAGCCAGAACAGAGGCCATGGGCCTTTGAACAACACGAAGCACCTTTATTCTGGAGAGCATACCCCAAACAGCAAAGCAAGTGGGTCCGGCTGGCCCAGTTGGTGCAGCCCGGCATCTTTGGGGACCCCTCAGTCCAGGATGTACAAGCTGGGGGAGCAGGTGGATGCTTGTTTTTCAAAGCCCCAAATAGAAGCCACTGGGCAAAATGTGTTTCTCTGAGGAGCTTTGATCAGCTTCTTGGGGTGAGGAACAGGTGACTACAGACAGATGAATCCAGCTGGAGGCTAGTCAGACCTGAGTTAGGTTCCTGTCCTCATATGTCCAAGGGGAAGATTGGGAAGGGTCTGATGTCAGAGTAGCTGGTCCAGAGTCAGAATTCCACGGGAACCCCCAACTCCGTGCCTGGGCCAGGGTAAAGGCATTGGCTGTTGTGCTTCTGTGTGGCCCCTAGAGGGCAGCAGGCTATGGAAGTGTAGGGCAGCCTCCTGCTGCCACTGGCAGTGAGGCCCCAGGGGATCAGAAGTCCAGCTCTGGCATCAAGGTGTGTTTGGGGTGACTGGGGGGCTCAGGCTCCTCTGGAATGTCCTCTGGGAGACCTAGCCCATTCCGGTGCTGGGCCTGCCAGGCTCTCTGCTGGGCCGGCCAGTCCAGATGCGCCCAGCGGGGGTCAGGGCCCCCCACGATCTCGTCCACCAGGTTCTCCAGGCCAGGTGGGGGCTCCGACCGCTCTATGAGGATGGGCGAAAAGGGCCCCACGAGCCAGGGTAGCGGCATGGTCTGCACCACCAACTCTAGCAGCTCGTCCACGCAGGCATGGGCCCGAGCCACTCTGCCCCGGCCCTCGGCCAACGTCGAGGCTGACACATCCCTGAAGCAACGAGCATCAGCAAAGGCCGCCTGCAGGGTGTCCACGCTGCGCCGCACCTCAGCCACCTTCTCCTGGGCATCCCGGGGCAGGCCCCGCACGCTGGTTTCCAGTGCGTCCACTGAGCTCTGTAGCTCCCGCATCAGACTTCGGGACAATACCAGTGTTTCCAGCTCCACCTGGGGAGGGGAGGCAAGGGGGGCCTCAGTGTTCCAGATGGACACGTGCTGAGACGGCTGTCCTGCCTCAGTTTACTCATGGACACACCGCGACTGTCACCCTGCCTCAGTCTCCCCATAGGTACACACTGGGACCGAGCCCTACCTCCCTTTTCCCATGGACACAATGGTATTGCCACCCCGTCTCAATCTCCCCATGGACACAATGGGACTATCTCCTTGCCTCTTTTTCACCCATGGACATGAGACAGCCCTGCCTCCCAAAAGCAGGAATCGGGAAGGTTTCCCTCAAAGACCCACAAAGAGACTCCCTGCCTCAGTTTCTCTAATGGATACCCGACAGGACCGCATCACCCTGCCTCAGTTTCTTCCCTGCACACAATAGACCAAGCCCTGCCTTAGTTTCTCCTGTGGGCACCCAGTAGGACTGTCAACTTACCCCAGTTTCCCCATCGCACTCCAACTAGCTACCTCAGCAGTTGGTTATTCATAGCTCAGTCATGGCCCCTGGCAACCCCGGGTGGATCCAGAACCACTCCCATCCTACCGTCCTACCTGACTACGGCGGCGGCCGTTCTCCAGGGCGCTCAGACTCCAGTCCCCCCACAGCTCGTGCACTTTCCCAGGGCGGGCTGGGGTGGTGGGGGTCATCCCACACTGCACGAGGTCAATCTGTGGGAACCGGAAAAGTGTTCATCAGAGGTAGAGGACTTGGGGGGTCGGGGGAGCCTGGACGGATCCTAGCTTGGATCTGGCCTTAATAAGCATTTCGGAAACACTTGCTGTGTGCAGCCTTCTGCACCCGCTGACCCAGCCTGGAGCCTGTTCATTGAATCCTCTGCCTCTGGCTGACTCTGTGACCTGTGGTTCTCCTGAAGCTCAGACTCACTGCCAGGCATGTGCTCATGCTGGTCCCTCAGCCACGTACACTC